TGACAGATTTGCAAGCCAATGCTTTAAACTGTCTTTGATTTTACAAAATCATAGAAGCAATCAGTGCTAGAAAAAGGCCAGTCTTGTTACAGCATACGCCTTTTATTTTTGCCATTCCCTGTCACTGCTGTTGGCATCAGTTACTTTATCCTACGGGGCACAGGAATCAGGGCTATTGAGAGTATACAGCAATGTCTGGTGACTCTACTTGGCAACATACTGCAACTTCATTTTTTTTTTAAACTAATCAGCCCTATATAAATATTTCTGTTGCATAGATGTGATCTAACACACATAAAATATTTCAGGGGCTTGAAAATACTTCTATCAGTCTAAAGAGCATGTTCTTTGAAATTGATTTTAAAAGCTATAGCCTTATATAGATGGCATTTTGGAATTTGAGTTTTATTTTCAACTTTAAATCTTTGCTTTAAAGGCAGATGTATCATCAGAAAACTTTTTTTGTTTGTATTAAGTTGCAGGGAAATTTGATCCTGCGTGTTGGTAAGGGACCATTTTGTGCAAATTAATCTGTAAACATTTAGCAGCTCAATACTTGATGGGAGGGGGAAGAGTGGAGAAAATTAGTCAGATGGAGAGTAGGAAAATTACTCCCATCTGATTAGGAAAAGATAATCATGATGTTTTCATGCAGACCAGAGCATCATGATGTTTCTCTAATTTGTCTTTCATTCTACTTCCCTTGGGGTGAAGGGGGGTGGGGAGTCCTGAGGAATATGGAAGGGGTAAAGGTTGTCTGTGCAAGTAAGGCTACTGAATACATTTTCAAGTTAAGACATATCTAAGTTTTTCATTAAGTAAATAAAAATTAATAGTTGGGAATATACTTGTTAGATTCCTCCCTACCACCTTCAAATGTTCATTGAAGTTTTCAGAGTTGCCTGTAGTCGTGGTTAAATTAGAAAGTATTTTATCAACATTTGAGTGAAACAAAGAGCTACTGATGTCCATGTTTGGGATTGGCTCAATATTATCTGTAAAAGTTGCAGAAAACTGATTTTTTAAAAATCTCAGTGATACTTACCTTTCAAAACATATAGTGCTAGAGAGTAGTAATTAGTTTTATTTAGTGTGGGTCTTTTTTATACAATTATTTAGAGTTCAAAGCATTTATCTAAGTTGAAACTGGACCAATAACTATATTTTGATTAATTATGTCTGAGTTTAGAACCATAATGAAAATGTGGTTAGATTTTACATTTACTCTAACAAATCTAAACTTAAAGACAATGGTTGTGATGGTACTGCTTGATATATTGCTTTAATGATGGTTACATGAATCTGTACATGTGATAAATAACACACACACACACACATACAAACACACACGGATATATTTAGATCTAGTGAAATCAGAATAGATTGATGGATTGTATAAATCTCAGTTTCCTGATTGTAACACTGTACTGTAGTTATGCAAGATGTTGCTGTTGGGGAAATGGGCAAAGGCTTAACAGAGTTCCTTCTGTTACTTCTAATTGCATGATAATCTACAATTACCTCAATTAAAAGTTAAAACAATTCTGAATATCATAAAATACATTACTTTTAATTCACTTTCTTGAAATTTGATATTTAAAATTGATATAAAAAAGTTATGGAGGACTTCTGACCATGGCCATGTTCCTACAGAGCAGAAAACAATAAGCCTTTACTTACCAATGGTTCCAAAAGAAAAGTTCTGAATTATTGTTATGTTGATGCATTGTGCTTATAAAATTGCTAACATGTTATTTGTATAACTTGATTTAAATTACCCCAACAGGACAGAGCCATGGGATATAGTGTATTTGGTAAAAGACTTTCTTGCAATAAGATCACAGGAAACTATTGCTTTTTATCATGTTGCCTGTGGATGAGTCAGTTTGAGCAGCTACATTAAAATTTTCAGAGCACATTAAAAATATTTCTTTAAATGATTATCAAAAATATAATTTTAAAAATAAAAAGAACAATTATCTACATTTTTACTATAACACATGACCCTGCTGGTTATGTGCAATGTTAAATAGTGAGACAACTAAATAACTTTTTTAAAAATTCTTAAAGATCATTATTAAATATATAGCAATTATTTACTCATCAACTATTGATGAATAGCTATAGTTAGGATCTGTGCTAGATGACAAAGATACAATAGTAAACAGAAAAATGGTCTTCAATTTAATAGTGCATTCTGCCCAGCTGAGAACATATAACAATAATGTTATAATAATATTTATTTTTAAGTAGCAGTGACAGACCTGTTGCTAATCACTCTATGTTCATGTCTTCATTAATATTCACTATAAACTTCCAAGTAGGCTCTGGATGTCATGTGTCTTGGATGAAAGAGGCTTTGATGTAAGTGATAGAATGAATTATAGCTTGAAAGAACTTAAGGTTCTGATAAATACTATTGGTAAATTATGAAAAGAAAAGTCCTGAAGCTTAAAGCAAAATCAGTAAAATTCTTATTTAAATTGTACAGAAGATACCAGGATACCCATAATATTGACCTACACAGAAGCAAATACAATGCTAATATACTGGTATATAGGCTTCAGAAAAAAAAATAGCTAATTGGCTGTCTTGGCCCATATGGCTCAGTTGGTTGGCCATCACCCTGTGCATGGGAGGGTCTCCAGTTCAATTCCCAGCCAGCAGAGGTTTGGGGTAGTAGGGGACATTACATGTTAGGCTCTCACATCTCACATCAACAATTCTCTCTCTCCCTCTCTCTTCTTCTCTCTCTGAAATCCATAGAAACATTTCAAAAAAAAAAAAAAAAAAGAGAGAGAGAGAGAGAGAGAGAGAGAGCTACATAGTCATACTAATGAAAACATAGTTTTCTGGTACTCAACTTTTAAATAGACTACAGATAAACTATACAAAAAGATAAGTGATCATGGGAGAAAATGTAAAAGCCAGTGAAAAGTTACAGTTGATGAAGATGAGTAGGTAGAAGGCAGTGAGGGACAGTATCAGGCTGCACAGAGAAAGGCATCAAGATGACCTTCTATAGTTGGTGGAAGAAGAGAGGAATTTAAAGATGTTTGAGTGCACAGAGGTCACCTCTGCTAAGGTGGAGGAATGAAGGTGGGCCAGGTGAGAATTAAAGCTCCTCTATCACAGCAAGAAGTTAGTAGACAATGTCCAAAGTTAATAAGCCAAAAATTAATTTATATATATATATAAAAACTTAATATGCAAATAGACCAAATGACAGAACAACTGAACAACTGATCACTATGATTTGTACTTACCACAAGGGGGCATGCGCAGAACATGGTGGGCATCTGCAGCAGGCAGAGTGCAGAACATGGCTTTCATCGGCAGTGCCTGGATGGTGGAGCACGTGAGTGGGGGTGCCAGACTAAGGCAGGGCACTGGTTGTTGTCATTGGGGCAAGATTCTGATGGTTACTAAAAAGTCTTTGCTAGCACACACCACAGTCCCACTGGGCTCTTGCACCTGCTGCCTGAGATAGCCCCACTCGCACCCACAGCCAGCGCTGGAGGTGTCACTCACATCCCTGCTGGTGCCAGCCCCAATTGTTCTGCGTTGTCAGCAGGTGCAAAGGGAGCCAGCACGTTAAGAGTGTGGGAGCAGCAGTGGTGGGAGCTGGGCTGCTGGCAGGCAGGGGACCAGGGACTGCAGAGAGAGGGGCTGGGTAGGGGTACAGAGGATGGGCTGAGATCTGCTCCTGTGCCCACTGCAGCCTTGCAACCCACAGTTCCTTTCAAGTTACATGAATTCATGCACTGGGCCCCTAGTATCCTATCTAATAAAAGAGTGATATGCAAATTAACCATCACTCTGTCATGCCCACAAGACACACCCACAAGCCAATCAGAGCAAGTATGCAAATTAACCCAACCAAGATGGCTATGGGCACAGAGAAAGCAGGAGGGAGGCTTGGGTTTTCCAGGCAATGGAGGAAGCCAAGCTTTCCGCACACCCTGGCTGGCCCAGGCTTCCTCTAAGGATACAAAGTTTCAATTGTAGAAGATAAATAAACCCCAGATACCAGGGCCACTGCTTGGGTCACCAGGGGGAGTGGCCAGACTGCAAACCATCATAAACCCCTCCCTCAGGTTGTCCCATGCTCCAAGGGAACCCCTACCCTGATCTGGGACATCCTTCAGGGCAAACCAGCTGGCCCCCACCCATGTACCAGGCCTTGATTCTATCTAATAAAAGAGTAATATGCAAATTGACCATCACTCCAATACACAAGATGGCTTCCCCCATGTGGTCAAAGATCTTGCCCCCATGTGGACACAAAATGGCCACTTAAGATGGCCAGCGGGAGAGGGCAGTTGGGAGGGACCAGGCCTGCAAGGGAGGGCAGTTGGGGGCAATCGAGCCTGTAGGGAAGGGCAGTTAGGGGGTGACCAGGCCAGCAAGGGAGGGAAGTTGGGGGCAAACAGGCTGGCAGAGGAGCAATTAGACATCATCAAGATTACAGGGGAATGGCTAGGGGATGGTCAGGCTGGCAGGCAGAAATAGTTAGGGGCAATCAGGAAGGCAGGCAGAGGAGCAGTTGGGAGCCAACAGTCCTGGATTATGAGAGGAATGTCCGACTGCTCATTTTGGCCCAATCCCTGGGACATCCCTCGAGGGGTCCCAGATTGGAGAGGGTGCAGGCTGGACTGAGGGATTCCCCCCCCCCCATGCACAAATTTCATACACCGGGCCTCTAATCTATATTAATAATAGCCTAAGTGGTCATCATTCCGTCTTTCCATGATGCCCTCACACTGTCACAATTCATCAGCAGGACGCTGCGTACAGCAGAATAGGCCCTTGACATCAGGGAGGGGCAGGACCTGAGCACTTGGTGCAGAGGGAATAGGACAGGCACTATGGGAGGGAATGCAGTAGCTGCGAGTGGAGCTGGTCACGTTCAGGCACATTAGCTCCTCTTTGGGTGTGACAGGCTGCAGTGGCCTGGCTGAGAGGGAAGGGGCAAGCTCAGTGCTCTGAATGCAGGCATCATGGACTGCCCAGATGAGGGGCCTCCTGCCAAGACCTGCTGCCTGAGCAGCTTGAAGCCCTCTCAAGATAAGGTGCCATTGCCACCTCCACTACCACCACAGCTCATGCAACTGCCCCTGCCTCCACTGGAACAGCTCCTGAGGCTCATGAAGGAAACAGAGGCAGCAGAGGTCCTGGCTGACATGAGGAGGTTAAGGTTGAGCCCCACTCTGCTCCCACTGCCCCCCTGAGTCATTCTGGAGGAGGGGGACTGTGCATGTACTTCACTCTGGGTGCCAGGTGTTTCTACTGGGATCCTGATTTTGAGACTGGGTATGAGAAGGCGTCTCCTCCCATAGAGAGCCTGGAAACATTCTCTCCTGAGGAGGTGACTCGGGGAAACCTGAAGATCGAAGATCGGCATTCAGGTTACTGAGCTGGAGCCCAAGCTGGAGCCAGAGCCAAGCAGCTTTGCTGGAGAGGCCCTAGATACCTGTAGCACAGGGGGATGGGAGTACTGGGTGTTAGACAGTCTACATGGGGAAGGAAGTGGCCATTATCATGGCGGAAGATGATGATAAGGAGTTGAAGGAGAATGTGAGGAGACAAGAAGGAGGAGGAAGAAGAAGCAGAGGAAGAGGCCTGGGGACCCTCGGCCCACGTGGCATGGAGGAGGCAAGGTCTGGCGGCTCACTGTGCGGTGAGGCCTGAGGGTCTGATGGTTCACATGATGCCTCCAGTCTACCTCTTTGGTGCAATCCATCGAGGAGCCCCAAATGGGTGGGCAGGGCATACCTCTTTTGGGCGATCAATTGCGGGGCTCCCACACTGTGAGAGGGCACAGGCCAGGCTGGAGGACCACCCCTCCCTCCTCCACCAAATGCAAAAGTTTTGTGCACCGGACCTCTAGTATTAATAATAATACAATTTTGAGGGGGAAAACACACCCAGATGTGACTAAACATGATTGTTTCTGAAATGTGAAAATGACTGGGGATGATTATGAAAGTTCTTTTTTTCACCATTACCATTATTTTGTTACTTTTTGATTAGCAATAGAACAGAGACTTCTGTTTTATGTAAGACCGTTAAGTTACCCCATTAAGAAATACTTGAATTTTGATTCTTCATTCACTTGGAAACCATTCCTTAAGCATATACTTCATGCAAGAAAATAAGATTTTTAAAGATGATAGCTCATACTGAGTATATTTAGCTAAAATGAATTTTGAACCAAAAATTAAGGTTTGGATATTTGTGGTGAATCTATATCTATATCTATATCTATATCTATATCTATATCTATATCTATATCTATATCTATATCTATATCTATATCTATATCTATATCTATATCTATATCTATAATCTATACTAATAAAAGGGTAATATGCAAATTGGTTACAATGCCTTCACAGTTAACAAGTGGCCAGAAGGCTGAGTGAGGTAATCAGGCTGGCAGGGGGTTTAGCGAGAGACAACCAAACAACTGACCAGCAACGACTGAACAGCAGGCTACATGGAGTGACCAAGCTGGCAGAGGGGGGCAGTGAGGGGCAATGAGGCCGGCAAATAGGTCAGTTGGGGGCATTCCTCTTGCAATCAGGGACAGCTGGCTCCTAACTGCTCACCTGACTGCCTTCCTAAACGCCCATAACCACTCTGACTGCTGGCCTTCTCACTCCCAACTGTCCCCCCTTGCTGGTCTGATAACCCCCAACTGCCCCCTGCCCACTAGTCTAATTGCCCTGAACTGCCCCCCCCTGCTGGCCTGCTTGCCCCCAACTGTCCTTCCCTCTTGGCCTGATCAACCCTTACCGCCTCTGACTCTGTCCCACCACCATGGCTTTGTCCAGAAGGACCAGAAGGTCTCCTGGAAGGTCTCTTGGTCTAATCAGCATATTAACCCTTTAGTAGAGGAAGGGAGAGAGAAAGAGAGAAAAAGAGAGAGAGAGAATGTGGAAAATGACATGAGTAGAATCATAATCAAGGTATATATTTAACCTTTAATGGTCATGAATATCATTTTTAATATTATAAATAATTTTTTTATACTTACCAATTTTATTTATGATTTTTGTACTTAGAAATGAGGATGATGATTGTCAGTCAACATCCAATCCTTCCAACCGTGTTCATCACCTTGACCTATTGTTGAAGAAATCTGATCCCCAAAACTCTTAATACTGACTTCTGTTAGGAAAATATACTTGTCTCCTAGGCATGGTGCATATAGGCATGACTGAGAGATTATAGATTGTGAATATTTTACAATAATTTTTTGCTGCCAAGAAAACAAAAACAAAAATCTACTGAAGCATCTGGTGAGGTAGCAATACAATATCTGTAAAGAGAATGTTTCCCAATTTAAAACTGGTCAAGTCTGGGGAAATTGATGAAAAAATTGTTGATCTGAGGTGACTTGTTTTAAAAGATTAGACTTGCAACATAAAATACATTATTTCTGCATCTGTTATTGACATGATATATGTTTAAACACATGTAATAAGTCTTGCTACATAGAGCAGACACCAAAAAGGCACATTTCAGGAGATGTCAATGGCAATAATTTTGTTAACACAGCTGCCTCAGACAGGAAGTCTTGCCTTGGGAGCCTGCTTTCCTGCAAAGCTTAAGGGAAAGAGCATGGGCTTAGCTATTAGGAGGCAAAAGTGGAACAGGCATCTGGGGACATAACTCAAATTGTCTCAGTCTATTTATTTGCAAAATGAAGAAGTACTATTGTCATCCACTGAATAACTAACAACATTGTTGAACACCCAATAATAATTGTTAACATGCACTGGGCACTTAATATCTGGCAATTTCTATGTTAAGTGTTTGTACATGAATCTGATTTTATCCTCCAAACTATTAGAATCCACATTTTGAACAGGAGGACATTAAAGGTTACAGTGGCCTTATTTTTCAGCAGGGCTAAGTGGTGGAAAATAAACTAAAACATAATTTCTCTGATTCCAAAGTCCTTATGCTTAAACTGTTACTCTAAATTGCCTACTTTATGTGAAATTAAGGTTTGTCATAGTTCAAATACTCTTTTAGCTTTAATTTCTGTGCCCTGGACCATGGGGCTGGGGCTTGTAGCTACTATAGAACTTGGACAGTTTCCATAATGTCAAAGCTAAATTTATAGACTAAACAGATATATGAACTATGATATTTTAATAATCAATAGACAACATCTTACCTAATAATAGACAAACATGTAAAATTGACTGTACCTCCGCTACACTCACAGCCAATAAGAGTGAGTATGCAAATTAGAAGGCCAAAGATGGTAGCCACCCAGCTTCTCCAGGCACAGAGTGACCAGGTGGGACAAGATGCCTGCTATGAGAGGGAGGGCAGGAGATGAAGGGATCTACAGGAACAGAGTGCTGTAGCAAGCAAAGATGGCAGACTCTGGCTGGAGCAAAGGCCTGGGTCCCAGGTGCCAGAGGAAAACTGGTTCTGGAAGCTAAGGGAAAGAAGATCTATTGCATTATTCTCTTAGTGCAATAGGCCTCTAGTGTGATTAATAATAATAATAATAATAAAGTTAAATAATTATTAGGTATATAGTAAAAAATTTCTAAACGTACAGTTTATATCATATAGCAAGTAAAAGTTATATTAATGTTAAATAGGGATCATTAGACTCAGAGTCATTCACTGTACAACTCCAGGAGTGCCATTCCCACAGACGCCTATGTGAATAAGGTCCCAGGATACCACTGTCTGTGCCCAAACTCTAAGTCTAGAATTAAGCATTTGATTGAAATGAATATTGATTAAAAAAAATGAAAGCCTTTCATTGTATTGTGTTTGCTCATATTACCAAAAAGGTGCCTTTAGAGATATGCAGGTAAGATTATTTGATTATGATTAACAGGAAAAAAATAATGCCATCAAACAAGATGGAAGTTTATCTCTGGGACTGGAATGTGGCTTCATGGTGTCAAGGACAAACCTTCTTTCCTATTCCTCTGCTGTACTCAGCAGGTGACATTCGACCTCGAGACTGCTGAATCTCAGTAGTCATGTCCACATACCAGATTGGAGGGAAGAGGAAAGGGTTAGAAGGGTATACCTCTCTCTAAGGATACCTTTTGAAAGCCCCTTTGCCTATATTTTATTAGTCCAAACTTAACCACATAACACAAGGGAAGCTTTATGTATTATAGCTAAAACTTACTAAGTATTTGGAAGGGGATTTTAGAATGGATATTGGGGAAAAGCAGTAGTCTCTGCTAACCATTGTGGATTCTGGTCATATTCCTTTCCTTTATTTCTAAAACTAAGACTAAGACATCTCTAAGCACTTTATATTCTACTAGTGCTTTTAAAGTTTGTTCATCTATACAGGTTAGTCCTAAGGATTCAGTAAGAAAATTGTTAAGATTTCTTTGAACATTAAACTCAATAATACATATAGGTATCATACTGGTGAACTTTATAACTTGTTTTAAGGGTATGGTAATATCTTATACAGGCAAGGAAAAGCAGACAATACATGAATATGTCTGGTTGGGGGAATGGCATTTTCCTTTCTCATCTCTGGATTTTTCAGGAAAGAACCATCAATCTTTATGCTGCCTGCATTAGTTTGGAAGAGCTGCCTTAACAAAATGTCACAGACTGGGTGGATTAAATAACAGAAATTCATTTTCTCACAATTCTAGAGGCTAGAAGTTTGAGAGCAAGGTTTTGGCACGATTGGTATCTCCTGAAGTCTCTGCCCTTGTTGTGTAGATGGCCATTTCCCTCTTTTGTTTTCACATTGTCTTCTGACTATCTGAGTCTAATCTCTTATAAGAACACCATCATATTATACTAGGGACCACCCTAATTTTAATTAAATGTCCTATTTAATGATACTATCTCAATTATAGCCACATTCAACACACAATATTTTTTTTTGGGGGGGGCCACAATTCAGCCCCTAACACTGTCCATCCGTCCTTTATCCACAGAGGACTGCATGTGCACACTCATGGCTTCTCAAAATTCACAGTCTCCTGCTTAGCCTGCTACTTCCCCAGCTTTTATTGCCTGGCCATTTGCTTGTACTGCTTTTTGTCCTCTGCTTTTATTTATCTATTCTTACCCTCTCCAGGCAATTTTACCCAACTTCCCCCTGGAGCTTTAGACTCCAGGCATTCTAATGGATAAGACAGTTCAAGCACAACATGGCCAGAACTAAACCCTTGATATTTTTCACTCTCAAGTAACTCCTCCTCTGTCTCCAAAA